TATGTAGCAATAAATGCTCACATGAGAGGCAAGGAAAGATCTAAAATCAACAACCTGTCATCAAAATTGAAAAAGCTAGAGGAGCAAGATCAAAAAAACTCAAAAGCAAGCAGACGACAAGAAATAACTAAGATCAGAGCAGAACTGAAGGAGATAGAGACACAAAAAAGCCCTTCAAAAATCAATAAATCCAGGAGGTGGTTTTTCAAAAAGAACAAAGTAGAAAAATAGACTGCTAGCCAGATTAAAACAGAAAAGAGAATAATCAAATAGATGCAATAGAAAACGATAAAGGGGATATCACCACAGATTCTGCAGAAATACAAGCCATCATCAGAAATTGTTTCAAACAACTCTATGCACATAAGCTAATAAACCTGGTAGAAATGGATAAATCTTGGACACTTGCATCCTCCCAAGCCTAAACCAGGAAGAAGTCAAAACCCTGAATAGACCAATAACAAGGGCAGAAGTTGAGGCAGCAATTAAAGCCTACAACCAAAAAAAGCCCAGGTCCAGATGGGTTCACAGCCGAATTCTAGCAGACACAGAAAGAGAAGCTGGTACCATTCCTTCTGAAACTATTCCAAACAATCCAAAAAGAGGGAATCCTTCCCAAATCATTTTATGAGACCAACATCACCCTGATACCACAACCCGACAGAGACTCAGCAAGAAAAGAAAACTTTAGGCCAATATTCATGATGAACATAGATGCAAAAATCTTCAATAAAATGCTGGCAAACCAATCGCAACTGCACATCAAAAAGCTTATCCACCATGATCAAGTAGGCTTCATCCCGGGTATGCAAGGCTAGTTCAACATACACAGTCTATAAACGTAATTCACCACATAAACAGAACCAAAGACAAAAACCACATGATTATCTCAATTGATTCAGAGAAGGCCTTTGACAAAATTCAACAGCCCTTTATGCTAAAAACCCTCAACAAACTAGGTATTGATGGAACATATCTCAAAATAATAAAAGCGATTTCTGACAAACTCACAGCCAATATCATACTGAATGGGCAAAAACTGGAAGCATTCCCTTTGAAATCTGGCACTAGACAAGGATGCTCTCTCTCACCACTCCTATTCAATATAGTATTGGAAGTTCTAGCCAGAGCAATCAGGCAAGAAAAAGAAAGTGTATTCAAATAGGAAAAGAGGAAGTCAAATTGTCTCTATTTGCAGATGACATGATTGTATATTTACCAGACCCCATCATCTCAGCCCAAAGTCTCCTGAAACTGATTAAGCAATTTCAGCAAAGTCTCAGGATACAAAATCAATGTGCAAAAATCACAAGCATTCCTATACACCAGTAACAGACTTAAAGAGAGCCAAATCAAGAATGAACTGCCATTCACAATTGCTACAAAGAGAATAAAATACCTAGGAATACAACTAACAAGGAACATAAAGGAACTTTTCAAGGAGAACTACATACCACTGTTTAACGAAATAAGAGAGAACACAAGCAGATGGCAAACATTCCATGCTCATGGTTAGAAAGAATCAATATTGTGAAAACGCCATACTACCCAAAGCAGTTTACAGATTCAATGCTATCTCCATCAAGCTACCGAGGACCTTCTTCACAGAACTGGAGAAAGCCACCGTAAACTTCATGTGGAATCAAAAGAGAGCCCACATAGCCAAGTCAATTCTAAGCAAAAAGAACAAAGTTGGAGGCATCACACTACCAGACTTTAAACTATACTTCAAGGCTACAGTAACCAAAACAGGATGATACTGGTACCAAAACAGAGATATAGACCAATGGAACAGAACAGAGGCCTTGGAGGCAATGCCACACATTTACAACCACCTGATCTTTGACAAATCCAGCAAAAAGAAGCAATGGGGAAAGGACTCCATGTTTAATAAATGGTGTTGGGAAAACTGGCTAGCCATGTGCAGAAAGCAGAAACGGGACTCGTTCCTGACACCTTACACTAAAGTTAACTCCAAATTGATTAAAGACTTAAACATAAGACCTAACACCAAAAAAACCCTAGAAGAAAATCTAGGCAAAACCATTTAGGACATAGGCATAGGCAAGGACTTCATGACCAAAACACCAAAAGCATTGGCAACAAAAGTCAAAATAGACAAATGGGACCTAATCAAACTCCAGAGCTTCTGCACAGCAAAATAAACAGTCATTAGAGTGAACTGGCAACCAACGGAATGGGAAAAAGTTTTGCAATCTACCCATCTGACAAAGGGCTGATATTCAGAATCTACAAAGAACTAAAACAGATTTACAAGAAAAAAACGAACAAGCCCATTCAAAAGTGGGCAAAGGATATGAACACTTTACAAAAGAAGACCTACATGAGGCCAACAAACATGAAAAAATGCTCACCATCACTGGTCATTAGAGAAATACAAATTAAAACTACATTGAGATACCATCTCATGCCAGTTAGAATGGCGATGATTAAAAAATCTGGAGACAACAGATGCTGGAGAGGATGTGGAGAAATAGGAACACTTTTACACTGTTGGTGGGAGTGTAAATTACTTCAAACATTGTGGAAGCCAGTGTGGCAATTCCTCAAGGGCCTAGAAATAGAAATTCCATTTGACCCAGCAATCTCATTACTGGGTATATATCCAAAGGATTATAAATCATTCTAATGCAAGGACACATGCACACCAATGTTTATTGCAGCACTGCTTATAATAGCAAAGACCTGGAACCAACCCAAATGCCCATCAATGATAGACTGGACTGGGAAAATGTGGCACATATACACCATGGAATACTATGCAGCCATAAAAAATGAGTTCATATCCTTTGTACGGTCATGGATGAACCCGGAAACCATCATTCTCAGCAAACTGACAGAAGAACAGACAATCAAACACTGCATGTTCTCATTCATAGGTGGGTGTTGAACAATGAGAACACACGGACACAGGGAGGGGAGCATCACACACTGGGGTCTGTTGAGGGGAAATAGGGGAAGGACAGTGCGGGGTGGAGAGTTGGGGAGAGATAGCATGGGGAAATGCCAGATATAGGTGATGGGGAGGAAGGCAGCAAATCACGCTGCCATGTGTGTAGCTATGCAACAATCTTGCATGTTCTTCACATGTACCCCAAAACCTAAAATGCAATTTAAAAAAAGAATAAAAAGGAAATTTATAATACTGAGTCAAAGTTATATGAGGATGGCATTGGTGACCTTGTAAACAATCCAATTTCTTGGAAGGCTAAACCAGGACTCAGACAGGTTCAATAACTTGCCATAGGTCATACAGCAAAATGTGTCAGTGAGACTTGAACTCAGGTCCATCTAGCTCCAACTTCTGTGTTCTTTCTACTGTGTGGCATCTTTGTGTCTCAGAGAAAGGCAATGATAAGACCAGTGCTGCTGTTATAAATCAGTTGTGGGTCACAGAAGACATCAGACAAGGAAAGAGACAGGAGAATGAAGAAAACAATTAGGAGACTGGGATTTGGAGTCCTAAAATTGAAAGAAATGAATGAAGAAGTGAAAGCAAAGGCCTTCATTCCTAAATGTGCGATGGTGTTACAAGGTTGCACTTGTGGAAATATTTTGTGTACCTCTATCACTAGATTTTACCATGCACTATTTTTGTTCTCTTTACTACTGGAAAGAGAGCTATTAGCATCTTGAAATCTAATTAGATTAGGGAACCAATTCCAGAAAACCCAGAACCAATTCAGAAAACTCACATGCTTAAAATTCGCTTCCTCTAGCACCACTCCCAGTACTAAAATATGTATTAGGTTCTCTAGAGATACAGAGCCAATAGCAGATCTCTCTCTCTCTTTCTCAAAAAGATATCTCAAAAAGACAAAGAGAGAGAGAGAGAGAGAGAGAGAGAGAGAGAGAGAGAGAGAGAGAGAGAGAGAGAGAGAGAGAGAGAGAGAGGGGGGGGGTGGAGAGAGAGAGAGATTTCCTAAATATAAATTTATTATAAGAAATTTGGCTCATGTGACTATGTAGACTGAGAAACCTTAGATCTACTGTCAGCAATCTAGAAACACAAGAGAGCTGATGGAAGAGTTCCAGTCTGAGTTCAAGTCCAAAGGCAGAAGGAGACAAATGTCCCAGCTTGAAGACACTTAGGCAGAGACAGCAACTTCTCCCTTACTCAGCCTTTTCTATTCAGGCCGGCCCCCATTACAGAGGATGACCTGCTCTACTCAGTCTACCAGTTCAAATGTTAATGTCATCCAGAAACACTCAGAACAATGTTTAACCAAAAAGCTGTTTTTTTTTTTTTTTTTTTTACTGAGATGGAGTTTTGCTATTATTGCCCAGGCTGTAGTGCAACGGCACTATCTTGGCTCACTGCAACCTCCACCTCCTGGGTTCAAGCGATTCTCCTGCCCCAGCCTCCCAAGATTACAGGCATGCACCAACATGCTTGGCTAATTTTCATATTTTTGGTAGAGACGGGGTTCACCATTTTGGCCAGGCTGGTTTTGAACTCCTGATCTTAGGTGATCTGCCTGCCATGGCTTCCCTAAGTGCTGGGATTACAGGCATGAGTCACCGGGCCTGGCCAAGCTGCTTCTTTATCCTTGCCTTTCCTCTCCCAGTCAGGGTCCAACTTCAGATGCTTTTAAAGCCACTTTAAAAGTGGCTTTCTCTGGGGTAAGGAAAACAGACTTGGAATAACATTTTGGGTGGTATCATTTCCAGTATTTCAGATTCCAGCTTTCACTCCCCACCCCCTTGCATTCCTATTTCTTTTTATTTATTTTTCTTAAACTGCTTAGCCTGATAAATTAGGGCTATTAAGAAACTGTTTGTTATTCTGTCCTGGGTTACTATTTTGAGGGCTAAAACACTCATAAATATATGGATGCTCCAACTGTAAATGGATACGTTTTAGCCAGTGAAAAATTCATTTTCTCTAATATATGTTTTTAAAGTGTTCTACTGAAATCCTGCACAATATCTCACCATGATCTTTCACTGTTCCTCCCATTTTTATCCGATAAAAGCAGATCCATCATCAATGTGGTTTCTTTTCTCTGCACCATAAATAACAGCCGAGGAAGCGGAGCATCTCCCACAATGCAGTGGCATCAAACTTTAACCAATTTTGGAATACAGTGTTAAGTCTTCTTGGGATGGGAGCCAAGAGTACCTGCATGCCCATCAGTTACCTCATGGCCTTCCTGGTTTTGGACAAAGACACTCCAAGCCTAAGCATAGAGAAATTTGCATCTGATTTCAACTGTACTTGCTAGATGGAAGATGGACTTCTGTAGGTTGTTATATACCCTGGTTCTTCTGGGTTGGCCCCAGTTTATGTCCCTGGTGCCAGTTAAATTATAAAAGTGACCTCTTTTACTCTCAAATGTGTCCTGGTTTGGATGATGACATGTGGTCACTTTAGATGTATACTGAGAAACACAGGGCTTCATATGTCCTCTAGTGTTTTACCCATTCCCTGTTGGATGCTCATTCTGTGTATTGGAACCCCCCTTCCCATCCATCAGCCACTCATTATCCTCAGAAGACCTACTATTAAAGGCAACATTTATAGGCTGGGAGAAAAGAAAAAGAGGAGAAAAAAACCCCACAATTCGTTTTTACCATGTGCAAGGTACTATGCTAGAGGCTTTTCAAGAAAGTCATGCTTTCATTCTAAGAAAAATTCCATAAAGTACTATTATCATTACTATCAATTTCAAGATTCACAACTTTTCACCAGTGGATAAGATCAGTGATTCTCAAATGAATCACCTCAATCTCGTTAAAATAAAGGTGGTGATTTAATAGGTTCAAGACAGAGCATGGAATTCTGCATTGCTAACAAGCTCCTAGGTTTTATCAATGCTGCTGATCCATGGATTATTCTCCCAATAGCAAAGCACTAAGGTATCCCTGGATCCCAGTCTAATCCTGAGATTCTAACAGAGGGAATATTTACTTCACAAATATGTATTATTTATACCAAACCTTGTGTTACATGCTGCGGCAGAGAAAACCAATAAGTTTCTGCCACAGAGGGGTTAACAGGTAGCCCTCATGGCTTGAGAGAAGCCCAAGGAAATATTCTATGGATACCACTTTTTTCTGAGTTGTGTTTAGAAGTCTATTTATTAGGAATTTTTATTTGTATTGTTTTTGTTTTTTTAAAAAAACATTTTTATTGAAAAGGCAACTGGCTTTCCTATGAGAATGAAAGCCTGCTCAAGTCTGAGACTCAGGCAGTTTGGCAGGGAGAGAAGGGAATTGATAACACCTAGAAATTTAGGGTAATGTGAGCAAAACATGAAGTCTGTGATGAAGAGAATTTGGTCCTGGGCACAAAGGACAACACAGAACCTATAGCTGGGGAAAAAGAAAATGATATTTATAATGACAGAGAAAGAGAGAGATTATGAATGGATGATTGATTAATGAAGAGATAGATGATAGAAGCATGATATATACATGCATACATAGACAGACAATCTCCTTGTTTCCCAATGGATTCAATTATGAATGAGCAAGTTCATTCTACAAAGTCATGAACATGTTTCATGACATAGCTAAAATCTCTGCTAATAACAAATCCAAAGTTGTTCCAGTGCTTATGGTGTAAGTCTGCTTACATTTATTAGTCTATTCTATATAAGAAAACCAGGAATCCACATATATGCCTTGTTCCAAATCACAGAGTATGCATCACTTAGTAGGGGGGAGGGGAAGGCCATAATATATTGCCATACTTGCATTCATCTGAGTACCTACTACGTGCCAGGAACTGAATTTAATCAAAGTTTCCACACTGCCACTTTAGATATTATATACATTATCTTTTGAAGCCAAGTTCAAGATGTTTTTCTCTACATGGTTACATTTAATACTCACCAAAACCTGTTATATAGAAGTCAAGGTGGAAAGCCGTTTATGTTGATGTTGGTGATGGTAAGTTTAGTGGTGATGGTGGTGGTGGTACTGATGATGGTGGTATATATCTTGAGATATATCTTCTACTTAAGAAAATTTTTAAGCAGACTCCAAAACATGGAGAGACCATAGAAAGTTGCATCTTTGGTAAGTTCTTACCAAACTGGGACAAGAACTCAGATGGCCAGACGATAACTTCAGCTTCCTGTCCATTCCACCAAGGAATAACTAGAATATTAGGTAGCTTCTATAGTTTTTAGTAGGCCGTGGTAAACGCATGTGAGAAGATGAGTAAAAACCTCAGATTCTACAACATAATATGGTTTCCTGACTAAGAAGAGAAAGATGCTTTAAAATGGCAACTTCTAAAGTTTTACTGATTTTTCAATTCTAGCTTGCATTCTTTTCTCCTGGCAAGGCTGGCTGGAACAAGGATCAGTCATAAAGGAAATGTTTCACTCTGCCTCACACATGCACTTCTGTGCCAAAATTAGTTTCTACCTTTACAGTTAATACACATAAAAAGAGACCATTTAGATAAAGCACTTCACAAAACTGTGGTTAGCTTAGGAAGTTAGAGGGTTATAGCTGCCCCCAAGAAAGTGTCATGCTTTTCAAACAGCTTCAATCTCATTGGCCTTGCAGCATTCCACCTGGTCATGCGCCAATCCCACTCCACACTGCAGCCAGAGTGAGTCTTTCCAAAATGTAAATATAATTGCATCTCTCTATGACCCGGTATTCTCAATGGCTCCCCATCATCCACAGAAGAATGCTCATTCTGCCTAGCCATGCAGACAATACCTTTTAGGGTCTGGTCATGGTTCACCATTCTAGCTTTAGTTTTCTTCCCACCTTTTGGTCTTCTATGATGTGCTGGGGCAAAAGAAAGTCACATGCAGCTGAAGTCCCCATTAAAGACCACTCTCCCAGCCTAGGCAACATAGTGAGACCCCCATCTCTACAAAAAAATAGAAATTTCTTTAAAAAAATAGCCAGGTGAGGGATGGATCCAAGAAGGCCAATTAAGAGCAGCTCAGGATTGCAACTCTAAGTGAAAGCACAGAGGGACAAAGATAGCAGAAGAAACTGGTAGCTACCCTTACTGTTCTGCACCTGCTGCAGGTGATCCCTAGGCAAGCAGGGCCTGGAGTGGACCTCAGCAGTCCTACAGCAGAGGGGCCTGTTAGAAGGAAAACTAAGAAACAAAGAAATAACTTCATCATCAACAAACTGGATGTCTACTCAGAGACCCAATCTGAAAGTCAACAACTACAAAGATGAAAGGTGGATGAATCCACAAAGATGGGAAGAAACCAGTGCAAAAAGGGTGAAAACACCTTTAACCAGAATGCCTCTCATCCTACAAGGGATCACAACTCCTCACCAGCAAGGGAACAAGACTGGATGGAGAATGAGTGTGATAAATTGACAGAAACAGCCTTTAAAAGGTGGGTAATAAGAAACATCTCTGAGCTAAAAGAACATGTTCTAACCCAATGCAAAGAAACTAAGAACATTGAAAAAAGATTTGATGAAATGCTAATGAGAATAAAGAACTCAGAGAGGAATATAAGTTAATTGATGGAACTGAAAAACACAACATGAGAACTTTGGAAGCATACACAAGTTTCAACAGTGGAATTGACCAAGCAGAAGAAAGTATATCAAAGGTCAAAGATCAACTCAATGAAATGAGAAGGCAAGATTAGAGAAAAAAGGGTAAAAAGGAATGAACAAAGTCTCCAAGAAATATGGGATTATGTGAAAAGACATAATCTATGTTTGATAGGTGTACTTGAATGTGATGGAGAGAATGAATCCAAGCTGGAAAATACTTTTCAGAATATTATCCAGGAAAACTTCCCTAACCTAGCAAGGCAGGCCAATATTCAAGTCCATAAATACAGAGAACACCACAAAGATATTCCTTAAGAAGGGCAACCCCAAGGCACATAATCATCAGATTCACCAGGGTAGAAATGAAGGAGAAAATGCTAAGGGCAGCCAGAGAGAAAGGTCGGGTTACACACAAAGGGAAGCCCATCAGATTCACAGCAGATCTATCAGCAGAAACCCTACAAGCCAGAAGAGAGTGGGGGCCAACAGTCAACATTCTTAAAGAACTTTTAACCCAGAATTTCATATCCAGCCAAACTAAGCTTCATAAGTGAAGGAGAAATAAAATCCTTTATGAACAAGCAATTACTCAGAGATTTCATCACCACCAGGCCTGCTTTATGAGAGCTCCTGAAAGAAACACTAAACATAGAAAGGAATAACCAGTACCAGCCATTCCAAAAACATACCAAATGGCAAAGAGCATCAACACAATGAAGAAACTGCATCAACTAATGGGCAAAACAGCCAGCTAGCATCAAAATGGCAGGATCAAATTCACACATAACAATATTAACCCTAAATGTGAAATGGCTAAACACCCCAATCAAAAGACACAGACTGGCAAATTGGATGAAAAGCCAAAATTCATCGGTATGCTGCATCCAGGAAACTCATCTCACGTGCAAAGATACACAGAGGCTCAAAATAAAGGGATGGAGGAAGATTTACCAAGCAAATGGAGAGCAAAAAAGAGCAGTAGCTGCAATTCTTGTCTCTGATAAAATACACATTAAACTAACAAAGATCAAAAGAGACAAATAAGGACATTACATAATGGTAAAAGGATCAATGCAACAAGAAGAGCTAATGATTCTAAATATATATGCACTCAATACAGGAGCACCCACATACGTAAAGCAAGTTCTTAATGACTTACAAAGAGATTTAGACTCATACACGATAATAGTAGAAGACTTTAACACCCCATTGTCAATATTAGACAGATCAATGAGACAGAAAATTAACAAGGATATCTGTAACTTGAAGTCAGACCTGGGCCAAGCAAACCTAATAGCCATTTACAGAACTCTCCACCCAAAATCCACAGAATATACATTGTTCTCATCACCACATCACACCGACTCTAAAATTGACCACATACTTGGAAGGAAATCATTCCTCAGCAAATGCAAAAGAATGGAAATCATAACAAACAATCTTTCAGACCATAGTGCAATCAAGTTAGAACTCATAATTGAGAAAGTAACTTAGAACTGCACAGCTTCATGGAAACTGAACAACTGGTTCTTGAATGTTGACTGGATAAACAATGAAATGAAGGCAGAAATAAAGATGTTCTTTGAAACCAATGAGAACGAAGACACAACATACCAGAATCTCTGGGACACATTTAAAGCAGTGTCTAGTGGAAAATATACAGCAATAAATGCCCGCATGAGGAGCAAGGAAAGATCTAAAATCGACACTCTGTCATCAAAATTGAAAGAGCTAGAGGAGCGAGACCAAAAAACTCAAAAGCTAGCAGAAGACAAGAAATAACTAAGATCAGAGCAGAACTGAAGGAGATAGAGACACAAAAAACCCTTTAAAAAAATCAATAAATCCAGGAGCTGGTTTTTTGAAAAGATCAACAAAATAAACAGACTACTAGCCAGATTAATAAAAAAGAAAAGAGAATAATCAAATAGATGCAATAAGACTGATAAAGGGGATATCACCACAGATTCCACAGAAATACAAGCCATCATTAGAGATTATTTCAAACAACTCTATGCACATAAGCCACTAAACCTGGAAGAAATGGATAAATTCCTGGACACTTGCATCCTTCCAAGACTAAACCAGGAAGAAATTGAAACCCTGAATAGACCGACAACAAGGTCTGAAGTTGAGGCAGCAATTAAGAGCTTACCACCCAAAAAAAGCTCACGTCCAGATGGGTTCACAGCCGAGTTCTACCAGACATACAAAGAGGAGCTGATACTATTCCTTCTGAAACAAACAATCCAAAAAGAGGGAATCCTTCCCAAATCATTTTATGAGACCAACATCATCCTGATGCCAGAACCTGGCAGACACTCAGAACGAAAAGAAACCTTCAGGCCAATGTCCATGATGAACATAAATGCAAAAATCTTCAATAAAATACTGGCAAACCACTGCAACTGCACATCAAAAAGCTTATCCACTATGATCAAGTAGGATTCATCCCGGGAATGCAAGTCTGGTTCAACATACACAAGTCTATAAACGTGAATTCACTACATAAGCAGAACCAAAGACAAAAACCACATGATTATCTCAATTGATTCAGAGAAGGCCTTTGACAAAATTCAACAGCGCTTTATGCTAAAAAAAACTTCAACAAACTATGTATTGATGGAACATAGCTCAAAATAATAAAAGCTATTTATGACAAACCCATAGCCAATATCATACTGAATGGGCAAAAACTGGAAGCATTCCCTTTGAAATCTGGCACTAGACAAGGATGCTCTCTCTCACCACTCCTATTCAATATAGTATTGGAAGTTCTAGCCAGAGCAATCAGGCAAGAAAAAGAAAGAAAGTGTATTCAAATAGGAAAGGAGGAAGTCAAATTGTCTCTATTTGCAGACAACATGATTGTATATTTACAAGACCCCATCATCTCAGCCCAAAATCTCCTGAAACTGATAAGCAACTTCAGCAAAGTCTCAGGATACAAAATCAATGTGCAAAAATCACAAGCCTTCCTCTACACCAATAACAGACTTAAAGAAAGCCAAATCAAGAATGAACTGCCATTCACAATTGCTACAAAGAGAATAAAATACCTAGGAATACAACTAACAACAAACGTAAAGGAACTCTTCAAGGAGAACTACAAACCGCTGCTCAACAAAATAAGAGAGGATATAGGGGTCCAAAGTGGCTCCCACCGGAGGTCGTGGTACTTGCGAAGGCGAGGTCATAAGTTCAAGGCTAACCTGAGCAGCCTTATAAGCTCAAACTGATTGTATCCTTTTTTTTTTTTTTTTTTTGCCAAACAGATGGAGAAACATTCCATGCTCATGGTTAGGAAGAATCAATATCGTGAAAATGCCATACTGCCCAAAGTAGTTTACAGATTCAATGCTATCCACATCAAGCTACCAGGGACTTTCTTCACAGAACTGGAGAAAACCACCTTAAATTTCATATGGAACCAAGAGAGAGCCCGCATAGCCAAGCAAATTCTAAGCAAAAAGAACAAAGCTGAATAAGAATACTACAAGGCTACAGTAATCAAAATAGCATGGTACTGGTACCAAAACAGAGATATAGACCAATGGAACAGTACAGAGGCCATGGAGGCAACACAACGCATCTACAACCATCTGATCTTTGACAAACCTGACAAAAACAAGCAATGGGGAAAGGATTCCTTGTTTAATAAATGGTGTTGGGAAAACTGGCTAGCTATGTGCAGAAAGCAGAAACTGGACCCCTTCCTGACACCTTACACTAAAATTAACTCCAGATGGATTAAAGATTTAAATGTTAGATCAAACATCATAAAAACCCTAGAAGAAAATCTAGGCAAAACCACTCAGGACATAGGCATATGCAAGGACTTTATGACCAAAACACCAAAAGCATTGGCAATAAAAGCCAAAATAGATAAATGGGACCAATCAAACTCCACAGCTTTTGTACGGTAAAAAAAACAGTCATTAGAGTGAATCGGCAACCAACAGAATGGGAAAAAATATTTGCAATCTACCTGTCTGCCAACGTGCTAATATCCAGAATTTACAAAGAACTAAAACAGATTTGCAAGAAAAAAATCAAATAAGCCCATTCAAAAGTGGGCAAAGGATATGAACAGACACTTTACAAAGAAGACGTAGATGAGGCCAACAAACACATGAGCAAATGCTCATCATCTCTGGTCATTAGAGAAATGGAAATCAAAACTACATTGAGATACCATCTCACACCAGTTAGAATGGCGATTATCTAAAAAATCTGGAGACAACAGATGCTGGAGAGGATGTGGAGAAATAGGAACACTTTTACACTGTTGGTGGGAGTGTAAATTACTTCAAACATTGTGGAAGACAGTGTGGCGATTTCTCAAGGACCTACAAATAGAAATTCCATTTGACCCAGCAATCCCTTTACTGGATATATATCCAAAGGATTATAAATCATTCTACTATAAGGACACAAGCACACGAATATTCATTGCAGCACTGTTTACAATAGCAAATACCTGGAGCCATCCCAATTGCCCATCAATGATAGACTAGACAGGGAAAATGTGGCACATATACACCATGGAATACTATGTGGCCATAAAAAATGATGAGTTCATGTCTTTTGTAGGGACATGGATGAACCTGGAAACCATCATTCTCAGCAAACTGACACAAGAACAGAAAATCAGACACTCCATGTTCTCACTCATAGGAGGGTGTTGAACAATGAACACATGGACACAGGGAGGGGAGCATCACACACTAGGGTCTGTTGGGGGGAAATAGGGGAGGGACAGCGGGGGTCGGGTATTGGGGGAGATGCATGGGGAGAAATGCCAGATATAGGTGATGGGGAGGAAGGCAGTAAATCACACTGCCATGTGTGTACCTATGCAACCATCTTGCATGTTCTTCACATGTACCCCAAAACTTAAAATGCCAAAAAAAAAAAAAAAAAAAAAGATAGCCAGGTGTAGTGGCACTTGCCTGTAATCCCGAATACTTGGCTGACTTTCTTTGGTACAGGAGTTTGAGGTTGCCGTGATCTATGATCATACCATTGTATTCCAGCCTAGCTGACGGATCAAGACCCTGTCTTATAAAAAAAACAAGAAATTAAAAAAAGAAAAGACCTCTCTTGGGAATACTTCTAGGCCTCCTAGGTCCCTTTGCAAGAATGCTGCATCTCCCTTCACTCTGCCTTCACCCCACAAACTGTTAGTCACCCTTTAGGACTCACCCTATCCAAAAACACTTGCTAGACCAGCCTCAGATGAAACGGGGAGTCACCTTTATGCCAAATTCCATCAGAGTGTGCTATAAATTATGATTTTTTATAAAAGCAAAATCCAGTCATCATAATCAATCACCACCACCACTTCAAAGAAACATTGAGGGCCTACTAAGTTCCAGCCACTGCTTAATCACTGTATTTGTATTATCACATTTCATATCCATGATAGCTCTATGAGCTCTGACATTAAAGGAATTAACACACAAATAAAGGCACAAGGTATCCAAGTATAGCAGCACCTGGCACTTAGTAAGCATGCAATAATTTGTTGCACAATAATTTGTAAGGCTAAATTAGTAACTGTTTAGTCATTTTAAAAATGGTGGGGAGGGGCTTTATTTTTAGAGTAGTTTCAAATTCACAAAAAAGTTTAGAATACAGGAAGTCCCCAAGTACCCTGCACCCATTGTCCCCCATTACTATCCTGCATTAGTATCACATCTTTGTAATGATTAATGAATCATGATTTATATATTATTAGTAACTAAAGTCCCTAATTAAGTTTTTGTTTGATACCCTTTTTCTGCTGCAGGATCTAATATAGGATATCAATTTACATTTATTGTGATGTCTTCTTAGGCTCTTTTGGGAAGTGGAAATTTGTCAGACTTTCCTTTCTTTTGACGATCTTGACAGTTGTGGGGAGGAACAGTCAGGCATTTTGCATGATCCACTATAGTGATTTGATGTGTTTCTCATTGTTAGATTAGGGTTATGGGTCTTGAGGGGAAGACCTGAATGGTAAAGTACCATTTTCATCAAGTTATAACCATTGATGTTGGCCTTGGACACCTGGCTGAGGTAGTTTCGTCAGGATTTTCCACTGAAACATACATTTTTCCCTTTTCTCATACCATAGACCTTGGAAGACAGTGATTTTCTCCCTCCTTGAGGGTAGAAAATTTATGTAGATAAATTATGTGAAATTCTTCCACACGAGAGATTTGTATCCTCTCCTCCATTTATTAACGCATTCAATCATGTATTTAGATAAGTATGAACTCACAGATTTTTATTTTACGTATTGTGTTTTCATTCAACACTAGTTAATTTTATTCCTCAAACTGTTCCAGCGTTGGTTCCTGGGAGCTCTTTCAATTGGCTCCTGTACTCCTTTGACATCACCCCATCTATGTGAGATTTTCTTTTTTTTTTTAATATGAGCGACTCCTTACTTTCTGCTCCAGGCTCATCTTGCATATTTCCTGTCCTGGTCCTAGAGTTAACCACGTCAACAAGTCCTCGTTCTTTTTATTGGAGGATGGTATTAGAAACCAAGATCTAGGATCTAGTGCTAGTTTTACCCATTTTTAGAGGGCTGTATTTTTTAAGACATGCTTGACTGAGCAAAACAAAAAAAAATATATGTGTGTGTATATGTGTGTGTGTAGTAATTACTGCATGTATACATACTTATAAATATTTCAACCTGCAATTATCTGTATATGTATTAAAGTAAACATGAGTTGCTGATGTTTCCAATTCTAATCTATTACCACATGGATCATTCTAGCCTTCTATCCTTGCTTATCTGCAAATTTCTACTCCAACAGGAAGAAACCTAGCTCCTTCCATCTGCCATCCATTTATTTAATTGTTCAACTCCAGTATGCATGCATAGCAATATTAGAATTCTTAACCTATTTCCCTATGGAAAACAAATTTATCAATCTTAGTACAGTGCTTATATGTAGTTTGTTTTGTCCTTGATCTTATGGACTCTACTGATCTCCAAAGTCACTTAGGTCAGCAACTTTTTCTTCCACCCTCTTCAGTGAGATTGCTTTATACATTTGTAATACAGTTACATTTGCTTGTCACCATCTGCTTTCCTTCCTGGGATTCCCCTTATTTCCTAAATGATTTTTTTTTGTGCATACATTAAGGTTCATTCTTTGTGTGGTACAGTTCTATTATTCATTCATTTTTCATCATCTATTTATTCCCCACTCATTTATTGTTTATAACACTCCCATTTCTCACACACACACACAGAAGTTAAATTAACTGACACTTAGAAAATGACTCTAACGTAGCATTTAAAGTCAAACAAAGATCAGAGTCGATAGAAAGAAAAGGAAAGGTAACCTTATCAGAGCTTAGCATGAGATAATTACTGCAATAAAGAATAGAGGTTGGGGGATGGATTCAAGATGGCCAATTAGGAGCAGCTCAGGATTGCAGCTGACAGCGAAACTGGGGAGGGTGAGTGGATGCTGCATTTCCAAATGGATTTTTATTGTCCACAGACCCGGAGATTCCCAGGTGGAGGAGCCCCATAGGTTGCCAGTGTGGCTGTTTTGGCCAGTGCAGTGAGTCTCTGCACAAAATACATGGGTCTGGGAGCCGTTTTAGCTGGTGATTGGAGCTTCTGAAAGACAGAGTCACCCATTCAACTGATATAAAAGAGGACTGAAAAAGGGAGCCAGGCCAGGAGATTCCTGGGCAAAAAAGTGCCATGAATCACAGCACAACTGTTTCAGCTGGCGCAGTGGGTTGCAGCATGGAAAATCACACAGATCCCAGTGACATTTCAACAGGTGACTGGACACCTGGAAGACAGAGTTGCTCATTCAACTGAAAAAAAAAAAAAATGGGGTCTGAGGCAGGGAGCCAGGTGATTAGGCTTGGCTGGTCCCACCCCCATAAAAATACAGCAATCTGAAATGCTCTGGACTGAGAGTTTCAGAGAAACCACAATGGAACCCAGGATGGGCCAGCTCTGTGGGGGAGGGGCGTCTGCCATTATCGAGGCAGTCCACCACTATGGAGGTAGTCTGCCATTGCTGAGGCAGCCTGCCATTGCTGAGGCAGCCTGCCATTGCTGAGGCAGCCCGCCATTACATAGAGAGACCACCATTACAGAGGTGGGCCACCAGTGCTGATACGGTTCTAACTATACCTGTATAAACAGGACTATAGCGAAGTTCACATGGCAGCTGGGCATAGCACACAGCAACTCAGCAAAACCTCTGCAGGCAGACAGTGACTATGCAGCCTCCTCACTGGACAGGGCAGCCATGAAAAAGGCAGAAGCATGACAGAAACTTAGAAATAAAGCCCTAATTCCCCAAGACAGAGCACCTGGGGAAAACAAAAAGGTGTTTATGAGTTCTGCTGCAGCAGACTTAAACATACCTGCCCAGTAGCTATGAATGAAGAACAGAGCTCACAGCTCAGCACTTGAGCTCCTATAAAGGACAGACTGTCTCATCAAGCAGCTCCCTGACCCCCTTATATCCAAAGAGTCACCTCATAAAGGAGAACTCTGACATCTGGTGGGTATCCTTCTGGGATAGAGATAGCAGAAGAAGAAACTGGCAGCTACCCTTACTGTTCTGCAGCTGCTGCAGGTGATCCCAGGCAAGCAGGGCCTGGAGTGGACCTCAGCAGTCCTATAGCAGAGGGGCCTGTTAGAAGAAAAACTAAGAAACAGAAAGAAATAACTTCATCATCAACAAACTGGACGTCCACTCAGAGACCCAATCTGAAAGTCAACAACTTCAGACGAAAGGTGGATAAATCTACAAAGATGGAAGAAACCAGTGCAAAAAGGGTGAAAATATCTGAAACCAGAATGCCTCTCCTCCTACAAAGGATCATTACTCCTCATCAGCAAGGGAACAAGGCTGGATGGAGAATGAGTGTGATGAATTGACAGAAACAGGCTTCAGAAGGTGTGCAATAAGAAACTTCTCTGAGCTAAAAGAACATGTTCTAACCCAATGCAAAGAAACTAAGAATGTTGAAAAAAGATTTGATGAAATGCTAATGGAATAAACAGCTTAGAGAGGAATATAAGTGAATTGATGGAGCTGAAAAACACAACACAAAACTCTGCGAAGCATATACAAGTTTCAGTAGCTGAATTGACCAAGCAGAAGAAAGGATATCAGAGGTCAAAGATCAACTCAGTGAAATAAAATGAGAAGGCAAGATTAGAGAAAAGAAGGTAAAAAGGAATCAACAAAGTATCCAAGATATATGGGACTATGTGAAAACACTCAATCTACATTTGAAAGGTGTACCTGAATGTGACGAAGAGAATGAATCCAAGCTGGAAAATACTCTTCAGGGCATTATCCAGGAAAACTTCCCCAACCTAGCAAGGCAGGCAAATATTCAAATACAGGAAATGCAGAGAACACCACAAAGACAGTCCTCAAGAAGAGAAACTCCAAGGCACACAATCGTCATATTCAACAGGATAGAAATGAAGGAGAAAAATGCTAAAGGCAGCCAGAGAGAAAGGTTGGGTTACCTACAAAGGGAAGCCTATCAGACTCACAGCAGATCTCTCAGCAGAAACCCTGCAAGCCAGAAGAGAGTGGGGGATAATATTCAACATCCTTAAAGCAAAGAACTTTCAACCCAGAATTTCATATCCAGCCAAACTAAGCTTCATGAGTGAAGAAGAAATAAAATCTTTTATGAACAAGCAATTACTCAGAGATTTCATCATCACCAGGACTGCTTTGCAAGAGCTCCTGAAAGAAGCACTAAATGTAGAAAGGAACAACCAGTACCAACCACTCCAAAAACATACCAAATGATAAAGCGTATTGACACAATGAGGAAACTGCATCAACTAACTGGCAAAACAGCTGGCTAGCATCAAAATGGCAGGATCAAATTCACACATAACAATATTAACCCTAAATGAAAATTGGCTGAACGCCCCAATCAAAAGACACAGACTGGCAAATTGGATAAAAAGCCAAAATCCATCAGTGTGCTGTATCCAGGAAACCCATCTCACATGCAAGGATACAGAAAGGCTCAAAATAAAGGGATGGAGGAATATTTACCAAGCAAATGGAGAGCAAAAAAGAGCAGTAGCTGCAATTCTCGTCTCTGATAAAATAGACTTTAAGCCAACAAAGATCAAAAGAGACAAATAAGGACATTACATAATGGTAAAAGGATCAATGCAACAAGAAGAGCTAATGATCCTAAATATATATGCACCCAATACGGGAGCACCCACATACATAAAGCAAGTTCTTAATAACTTACAAAGAGACTGAGACTCCCACACAATTAACAGTGGGAGACTTTAACACCCCATTGTCAATATTAGATCAGTGAGACAGAAAATTAACAAAGATATCCAGGACTTGAAGTCAGACCTGCACCAAGCAAACCTAATAGCCATTTACAGAACTCTCCACCCAAAATCCATAGAATATACATTGTTCTCAGCACCAGATCACACCTACTCTAAAATTGAACACGTAATTGGAAATAAATCACTCCTCAGCAAATGCAAAAGAATGTAAATCATACAAACAGTCTCTCAGACCACAGTGCAATCAAGTTAGAACTCAGAATTGAGAAAGTAACTCAGAATTGGACAGCTTCATGGAAACTGAACAACTGGCTCTTCAATGTTGACTGGATAAAAAATGAGATGAAGACAGAAATAAAGATGTTCTTCGAAACCAACGAGAATGATGACACAACACCCCAGAATCTCTGGGACACATTTAAAGCTGTGTCTAGAGGAAAATATATAGCAATAAATGCTTACATGAGAAGCAAGGAAGGATCTAAAATCGACACCCTGTCATCAAAATTGAAAGAGCTAGAGGAGCAAGATCAAAAAAACTCAAAAGCTAGCAGAAGACAAGAAATAATTAAGATCAGAGCAGAACTGAAGGAGATAGAGACACAAAAAACCCTTCCAAAAAATCAATAAATCCAGGAGCCATTTTTTTGGGAAAGATCAACAAAATAGACCACTAGCCAGATTAATAAAAAAGTAAAGAGAGAATAATCAAATAGATGCAATAAAAAATGATAAAGGGGATATCACCACAGATTCCACAGAAATAGAAACCATCATCAGAGATTATTGCAAACAACTCTATGCACATAAACTAGTAAAGCTGGAAGAAATGGATAAATTCCTGGACACTTGCATCCTTCCAAGCCTAAACCAGAAAGAAGTTGAAACCCTGAATAGACAAATAACAAGGTCTGAAGTTGAGGCAGCAATTAAGAGCCTACCAAACAAAGCCCAGGTCCAGATGGGTTCACAGCCTAATTTTACCAGACATACAAAGAGGAGCTGGTACCATTCTTTCTGAAACTATTCCAAACAATCCAAAGAGAGGGAATCCTTCCCAAATCATTTTATGAGACCAACATCATCCTGATACCAGAACCTGGCAGAGACTCAGCAAGAAAAGGAAACTTCAGGCTAATATTCATGATGAACATAGATGCAAATATCTTCAATAAAATACTGGCAAACCGATTGCAACTGCACATCAAAAAGCTTATCCACTATGATCAAGTATGCTTCATCCCGGGGAAGCAAGTCTGGTTCAACATGCACAATTCTGTAAACGTAATTCACCACATAAGCAGAACCAAAGACAAAAACCACATGATTATCTCAATTGATGCGGAGAGGGCCCTTGACAAAATTCAACAGCCCTTTATGCTAAAACCCCTCAACAAACTAGGTA